CAGAAAATACATGGGAACATCACCACTTGAAAATTCGTCTCCAATGCTGTCATTCCTTCACTGTTGCTGGGTCAAATTCTGGAATTCCGTCTCTAAAGACTTTGTGTGTGCCTACCTACAGCACATGAACTTCAATGGTTCAAGACAGCTCACCACCAGCTTCTCAACGGTAACAAGGGATACAATAAATACTAGCCAGCCAATGATGTCCACATCCCATGACTGAATTAAAACAAACACTGTTCTTGTGGGATAAGTCTCGCTTAAACTGTATTAGGATCAATGCCTTGGCAAATCAAACAGCCAGCATTGAATAGAGGGCTTTAAACTAAATAATGGGTTAGAGGGTTCAAGTGATGATAAATTTAAATGGTCAAAGAAAAAGAACAAGATAATTTAGGATAACAACATGGATAATAATCAGTGTAACAGGAAAGAACAGAAGATACAGCAATGAGCCACGAAACAGGGGCAGAGTACTGGAAATTGGCAAAAGGCAGAATTAATACCTTTTATCTGAAGGCACAAAGCATTCATAACAAAATGAGTGAATTAATGGCACAATTAATTAATGAGTATGATATGATAGCTATTATAGAGATGTGGTTGCAAGGCAACCAAGGCTGGAACTGAACATTCAAGGGAATTGACATTTACTAATTTGAAAGGGCAGGGGAGGAAGAAAGAAAAAGGAAGTGATGTAGCTTTATGAATAAAGAATGAGATAAATGCATTGGGGGCTATGATCTTTGTTCAAAAGATCAAGACATAGAGGTTAGTTGTAGATGGTCATTCCCTGGCACTTGGGAGGCATGAATGTTACTTGCCACTAATCAGCCCAACCCTGGATGCTATTCAGGTTTGATGCATACTGACATAGATTACTTTAATACCTGAGGATTTGCAAATGTCAGTAAACATTGTACAATCATCAGTGAACATTCCTTATGATAGAAGGAGGTCCTCCATGAAACAGCTGAAGATGGTTGGCTTAGTACATTACACTGAGGAGCCCCTGCAGGACTGAGATATTTGGCCTTCCATAAACACAACAATTTTCCTTTGTGGGTTGCACTGAAAAAGGGTCCAGGCCCGAAACAATAGCTTTCCTGCTCCTCTGATGCTGCTTGGCCTGCTGTGTTCATCCAGCTCTACACCTTGTTATCTCAATTTTCCATTGTGTTATGTATGACTCCAATCAATGTACAGCTTTTCTCCTGATTTCTATCGACTCCAGCTTTTCTGAAAATCCTTGATGCCTTATGTTGTGAAAGCAAGTAGGAACAGATAATAAAAACCGAAAGAACAGTGGATGCTGTAAATCAGGAACAAAAACAAAGTTGCTGGAAAAGCCCAGCAGGTCTGGCAGCATCTGTAAGGAACAGGTAATGTTAGACCTGGTATACATAATGAGACCGTATTAAACATGATCTCATAGAAAAGACTCCTCTAAGGAAGAGTGATTATAAAAAGAAAATTTCACATTCAGTTTGAAGGTCAGAAATGTGGATATGAAACCAATTTGGATCATGGATGGCAGACAGTCAGGTTAACTGGACTGAAAAATAGGGTAAAATGCAAGATGGTTGTGACTGACATTTAATGAGATATATCACAAGTCTCAACCAGCAAAAAAATGAGTAAAAATAATTGGAAGCAAGAAATTAGAATAAGAGCGAGAAATGTTAAAATAGTCAATGAGAAATGTTACAAGAAAATAAAAAAAATGAAATTAAATAAACAAAATATTAACTCTAGAGTTGGAGAAAGGGACCCTAATTTTAAATCAGTCCCCACCTCCCCCACCCCACCATCCTGGATGCTACTTTAGAGGCAAAGACCTTGTTACCTTTCCAACTCCTACAGATCAAATAATAGCGTATTTTCGGGCAGGGAGGGGGTGCGTGGGGTGAAGGTTGCTTGTACTCAGACAACTGATTGAGGGAATAGTATAGAAAGGTGTGATTCTGCAGGAAAGCACCTTCCCTACCCCTCGCTGTCCAAATGCCTCCACTGCGAATTTGATTCTTTCCTGCTAGCCATTATCAAAGGCCACAGTGCAGAGCCAGTGACACTGCCAGTCCTGGAAAGTTTCTGGCCTTTCATTGGCTCGGAGCTCTTGAGGATGGGATTTCTAGCCTGTATCAGGTTTAATTCAATGGGATGCCTGGTGCTGCAATATATGCCTGATTCTTACAAAATTGCATTGGATCTGCCGTAAATATTTAAATGTGAGATTCCTATTGGTATTCCAGCTGGTGGACAAGTACACCTACCTGATCATTATTAATTCTGCTGGTCAGAATTTAACAGGAAATAACTAAATGGCAAAGTCATTAAACAATTAGCTGGCTGTTTCCACAGTTGAAGTCACTCACAGCATCTCAGTAATAGTAAGAAATCAATGGGCAAGGATAGAGAAACTTAAAAATAATCACTACCAGTAGAGAAAAAAGTATAGTAAGTTTTCACTCAAAGCTGATGTAGTTAACACTATTTGATTATCATGTTTAGTCATTTTGATGTGGTTTGTGCTTTTTTTTCAACTTTACAATGAAATTTAGCTGCCAATTCTGCTAACGAATACACTGTTGTAGTCAATTTATCATATCAATGATGGAAAGGATAGGTTGCAACATTTCAGCTGGAATGTCACCAGTCTCAATTTAGTCATAGTATACTGAAGTGCTCAAAAAGTGATTCATTTGTTTAACCATACTAAACTAATGGCCACAATGTATTTTTCAGAGATAGTAGGAACTGCCAATGCTGGAGTCTGAGATAACAAGGTGTAGAGCTGGACGAACACAGCAGGCCAGGCAGAGGAGCAGGAAAGCTGACGTTTTGGGTTTGGACCCTTCTTCAGAGATGTATTTTTCAGCTGTTTTTCAAATATGTGCTTCCAGTGACATTCTAATAAGCCTGAAATGCCATACAAAATTGTGACACTGCATAGTCTTTCAGACATGTCTTCTTACAGTCCAAAGATGTGCAGGTTAGGTGGATTGGCCATGCTAAATTGCCCATAGTATTCAGGGATGTGTAGATTAGGTGGGTTTACAGGAGGATGTCTCTGGGTGGGATGCTCTGTGGGTCGTGTGGACTTGTTAGACCGAAGGGCCTGTTTCCACATTGTAGGGATTCTATGATCTACTATATTCTGCATTTACTTCAGTTTATTATCAGGGTAGGGAGAGTGATGATCTTTTGGAGTAGATTTGTAGCTAGGGTTGTGGGTGTTGAGGTTGGTTGGCTCGCCGAGCTGGTTTCTTGTTTCGCAGACATTTCGTCACCATGCTTGGTAACATCCTTAGTGCAGCCTCCGATGAAGCGTCGGTATGTTTTCCCGCCTGGTTTTTAAACTCTGGGGTCCGTTGAGATGGGTTGCCTTACTTCTGGGTTTCCTTCGTAGTGGAATGTATAAGGGGTTGAGATCGATGTGTTTGTTAATGGCATGCTTCGTGGAGTGCCATGCTTCCAGGAATTCTCGTGCCTGTCTCTACCTAGCCTGTCTCAGGATCTTGGTGTTGTCCCAGTCGAAGTGGTGGTTCTCCTTGTCCATGTGGATTGAGATGAGTGAGTATTGGTCACCTTTTGTCAAAGTATTGACACCTTTGTCATCATTAAACAGACCAAATTAGAAGAGACACACAAACTTATAAACAACGCACCCAGTGGAATAAAATTCACCAGAGAGGAGGAGAAGAACAAACAGCTCCCATTCCTGGACGTCATGGTAGAGCACAAGACAAATGGGCAACTGCAAACAAAAGTACACCGAAAAGCCACACACACAGACCAGGTACTGAACTTCAACAGTAACCAGTCCAGCACACACAAACGAAGCTGCGTGTGAACACTACTTAAAAGGGCAACAACGCACTGCAGCAACACGGAACTACGCCAAGAAGAAGAAGAATACCTCTTCCAGGTTTTCAAGGATAATGGATATCCAAAGAATTGGGTCAGAAAATGCCTACATGAAGAGCATCAGAAACAGACTACACGCCCCAACACACTCATCACACTACCCAATATCAGAAACACATCAGAACTCACAACAGGACTCCTACGACCGCTGGGCATCAGAGTGGCACACAATCCCACGTCAACCCAACGACAACTGCTCATCCGAACCAAGGACCCACTCCCCGCCATGGACAGGACCAAAGTCATCTACAAGATCACCTGCAGAGACTGTGAGAAACACTACATCGGACAAACAGGAAGGAAACTAACAACAAGAGTACATGTACACCAATTGGCTACAAAAAGACACGACCAATACTCACTCATCTCAATCCACATGGACAAGGAGAACCACCACTTCGACTGGGAAAACACCAAGATCCTGGGACAGGCTAGGCAGAGACAGGCATGAGAATTCCTGGAAGCATGGCACTCCACGAAGCATGCCATTAACAAACACATCGATCTCAACCCCATATACATTCCACTACGACGGAAACCCGGAAGTAAGGCAACCCATCTCAACGGACCCCAGAGTTTAAAAACCAGGCAGGAAAACATACCGACGCTTCATCGGAGGCTGCACTAAGGATGTTACCAAGCATGGTGATCAAACGTTTGTGAAGCAAGAAACCAGCTCGGCGAGCCAACCAACCTCAACAACCTCAATGAAGATCTTAATATCATCCAGCAATTGGGTTGAATGAGTGAAATGGATCTCAGACCTGCCAGTTTGCCCCCAGATCCAACAGCCTTCACAATTCGTCTGGGGTCACCTGGCCCAGTTTAGAATGCAGCATGCCCCTCCTAACCGAAATCGGAAGCACAGACATTAATAAAGCCAGGTTTGTGGAGCCAGGAATCCTCTGGACTCTGCTCACCCAACCCAGTAGTGATAATCCAGGCCCAAGTTTAATGTCTTATGTCAAATATAGTGAGACTGGAAAAAAATATTTGTGGTGTCAGCGTAACAAAACTTTGTGATGAGGAATCTGTCGCTCATACATGCATACATATTCTTTGTTGGATACCTGTAGAGAAAACAACATTCTTGGAAATTAGGTGATAGTCAACGATAGAAAACTGTGGCAACTCAATCTTCTCCACCCCAGTCACTGCTCGTGGAGCTCCACGCCAGTAGAACTCAATGTCATCTGTTGTATATCCATCTGGAAGGAAACAGCGACAAAATGTCAATGATCACATGTGACACTTAACAAAGTTAAACGTTTTACGCCACAATCAAGATCAAACTCCTACAAATAGTATTGAATATAATATTTTCTATCTGAGGACAGGAATTGAAGACTCTACAACTTTAAAGGATTACAGCATGTTTTAAAGATGTGTAACACTACAATTTCGCGAATACTGGTAGTGATATTGCAGGACAAACAGTTCAGGGAAATTTTTAACTATTCCTTCCACCGCCCATGATGGGCACAGGAATATTGGTAAAGTGGTTAAATTTGAAAGAAATGGGTAACCTGTCCCTTTCTGGTTTGATCATGGCTACTTTGAGATTGGTTGAGAAATCTGCTTTACAAAGGCAGGTCTGCAATTATGATTTTTAAAATCATCTTACACCTTAGATTTTATCATCAATTTAAACTTAAAGATGGTGACCCATATTTCCCAAGTCTTGGCAAACCTACAGGTAAAGGGAACTGTTGACGTTAGGTCAGTACTTGTTCAATGCCACTTGCGATCCAGCAGCATTCCTCACATTGCCCCAAAAGCAAAACTGCCATGACCTTTTTTTTCCTATAATATGGTGATTACTCCTGTGAATGTCATTTCTCCCATCACTTGTGACCTGTGATATGAGGAATTCAATAATCTTTTTGATTGCTAGCAATTGCGCTGGTTGTCTCTGGATGTTACCATGTAGTGTAGGCATTCCCGTTTAACAACCAACCAAACTTCAATTTGAATTGCTGTCAGAGACCAAATCCATTTTTTAAAATGTATTCCTGCTGTTAAATTTGGCAGGACCACTGCATTAACAATGTTGCCTTACGCTAACAGTTTCTCCTCTTCCCACCCTGCAAATATTCTGTCCTTAATATCTTGTAATATTTCTTAGTCCACTATCTCAGTGGAGCCTTAAACCATTAAAGTACTGTGGTTTCTTTAGAATCTTATCTACTGTCACCATCATATGCCTAAAATAGTGATATACATACTATATGTGAACTGGACATGAAATTTGTGTGGACCTTTTTTGAACTGAATCAGAACAGTGTCAGAGGTACATGCCTAATCACCCGTGCAAAGAGCATGAAATTGGTCAAATCCACACATAAATAAACGAGCAGGCTACCATTGTCGGTCCCAATGTTGATTTGCAGCTTGTCTTATTGTGGCCTTAAATTTCCAATGTTTAAGATGTGTTTAAAACACAGCCTTTAAGAAGACATACACTTCAACTATAGGTAATTTGAATGCTGTAGAAGCAGAAAAATCAAGACTGTCTCAATTTTACAACATTGCAAAGGACATCCATAAGTACAAAGATGTAGCAGACGACAGCCATTCAGCTCTTTGAGTCTGCTCCATTGTTCAATGAGATCATGGCTCGTCTGACAATTCTCAACTTCACATTCCTGCCTTTTCCCCATAACCCTTGATTCCTTTACTGATTAGAAGTGTCTATCTTAGCCTGAATATACAGTATGATGCAGCCTTGACAGCCTTCTGTGGTAAAGGATTTCACAGATTCACTACACTTTGAAAGAAGAAATTCCTCATTTTAAACGTGCAATCCCTCATTCTGAGATTATGCCTTCTGAAGCTAGACTCTCCCATTCCTTCCACAACTACCACGTCCCCTAAGAAACTTGTACTTTTCAATAAGGTTGTCTCTCATTCTTCTAAATTTCAGTAAGTACAGGTCCAACCTAGGCAACTTCTCCTCTAAGACAGTTCCTCCTTAACTGGTAGCAGCTCAGTGAACCTTTTCTGGACTGCAATCCTTAGTAAGAGGTCAAAAACTGTTTGTAGGGAAGAGTAGATACAACATCTTTCTGTCATACAGCAGTCAGACGTCCTGGCAAAATGCTGGCCAACAATAATGGAGAGTGTGTGTGCCAGGAACATCATTGTACAGACCTGGCATTATTTGGAAGAATTTTAATAACATAACCAAGGTTATTATGGTGAGATTTTTACTTCAATTTCACACCACTCTGCATGACCCTTAGTGGGCAATCACTCACTACCCTTTTCTCCCTCAAGTACCAGCACTTTCATTCATTCACTAGGCATTCATCCATATATTATCCTCCCAATACAACACACTGCAACTCCTGTCCTCATTCGTAGTACCTTCACCTCCTCATACCTACAGAACCACCACTGCTATTTTCCTTGATATGCATTTTTTCAAACCATTAGATGAGCTTTAATACAGTCCCTTGTTTCTTCCATGAACATTATATTCACAGGTATGTAAGTACCTGGGCTAACATTAATGTATTAATTATAAAGAGCATGCTCCTAGTAATATGCGACGCTTCACATAATCCTGAGGTAAGATGAACTATGAGTCTGGTACTTTTATACCCTCAAATAACAATGATATATTGTGAGTATGCCCCTTAAAGGCATAATGACATACTGATTGTGACCCAAAACAACAATGCCCTCTGTCGGCACCACATCTTGTGATGAATCCTCATCGCTGTTCATCATATTTTATAAGCTAATTGGACTCTTGGGAACCATAAGGTAGATTTGCTGCCGCCACAATCCTCCTTTTTTAAGTTGTGATCTATAGTGCCTGTTTTATGTAGAATGGAGGTGATGGCCTAGTGCTATTATCACTAGACTCTTAATCCAGAGCACGGATAATGTCCTGGGGAACACAGGTTCAAATCCCATCATGGCAGATGGTGGAATTTGAATTCAATTATTAAAAATATCTGGGATTAAGATTTAAATGATGACCATGAAGTCATTGCCAAGTGTTTCTAAAAAAAAACCCATTTGGTTCACTAATGGCCCCCAAGGGAAGGGAAATCTGGCATGCTTACCTGGTCTGGCCTACATGTGACTCACAGCAATGTGGTTGACTTTCAATTCTAGGCAATTAGGGATGGGCAATAAATAGTGACCTGGCCAACGATGTTGCCATCTCAACAATGAATTTTAAAAATAGGAAAAACTATAAAAGTGCTCTGACAAGAAAAGGTTCTTGTCTTAAAATGTAAGTTATTGCATGATAGCAATCAGATACAAGCTACATTGGTATGATAAATGTTCTTATTAATAACACAAAATAGTCTCTTTGAGATCCAGAGCTACACTCCCTACCCAAGACATTTGCCATTATTAGAGTGGATGGAGCTTAATGCAGTCGTTAGCATTAGCTCTTTGAGAACCGAACATCTTACACGACATTATCCATACTCCATGATGAATCGACATGATCTTTGATAGTCAGTCACAGAAGTATACAGCATGAAAACAGGCACTTTGGCCCAACCCATCCATGCAGACCAGGTTTCCTTAAATGAACTAGTCTCATTTGCTTGTGTTTGGCCCATGTCCTTCTAAACCTTTCCTATCTATGTACCTGTCCAAATATCTTTTACATGTTGTAACTGTACCAGCCAATACTACTTCTTCTGGCAGCTTGTTCCACAGATGCACCACTCTCTATGCAAAAAATCAGTTCACTTTTAATTCTTCCCCCTCTCACCTTAAACCTATACTCTCTAGTTTTGGACGCCCCTATCCTGGGGAATATACCCTGGCAATTCACCTTATCTATGTACCTCATGATTTTATAAACCTCTGTAAAATCATACCTCAGGTTCCTGTGTTCAAGGGAAAGAAGTCCCAGCCTATCCAGCCTCTCCTTATAGCTCAAATCTTCTAGTCTCAGTTACACCCTTGTAAATCTTTTTTGCCCCCTTTCTAGTTCAATAACATCCTTCCCATAGCAGACGACCAGAATTGCACGCAGTACTCCAAATGTGGCCTGAGTAATGTCTTGTGCAGCTGCAACATCACATCCCAACTTCTATACTCAATGATCTGACCAATGAAGGCAAGTGTGCCAAAAATCTTCACCACCCTATCTGTGACACCACTTTGAAGGAACTACGTACCTGAACCTCTAAATCTCTCTGTTCGACTACATGCCTATCATTAACTGCAAGTCCTGCCCTGGTCTGTCTTAACAAAATGCAACACCTAGCATTTATTTGCATTAAACTCCATCAACTGGTCCTCAGCCCCCTGGCTCAGTTGATCAAGATCCCAATGTACTCTTAGATAATCTTCTTCACAATTTTTGGGTAATCTGCAAACTTCCTAACCATACCTCCTATATACTTATCCAAATCATTTGTATAAATTATGAATAACAGTGGACCCAGCACTGATCCTTGCAGCACACTGCTGGGTACAGTCCTCCAGTCTCAAAAACAACCCTCGACCAATGCCCTCTATCTCCTACCATTAAGCCAATTTTGTATTCAATTGGCTAGCTCTCCCTGGATTCCATGTTACCTAACCTTACCAATCTACCATGCGGTACCTTGTGTGATAATACTACAGCTTTAAGATGTTTATTTTGCCTTTTTTTTATGAAGAGATGTTGAGACAGAGGTGCAGAGCGGTCTGCTTTAAGCCAATAAATAGTTTGTGAGGCCATGGGTTCTCTTTTAAAGTTGGAACAGTAGAAGTAGCCTGATTTGGTGAGGTCAAGCTCCCTCAGAATCAGGAGTTTAGTTTTAGCTTTCAGTAGCTGTTGGGGTTGTGAAAGCTGCTTCATCTCTCTCTTGTTGCTACAGCTAGAAGCTTGGGTTCTCTTCCAGCTACTAGGAATGCACAGGAGACAATCTATGTTACTCAATTTGCCTTTGCTAAGAATATGCTTATGGGATATTACTATATTGGAACAGTTAATGAGTAGTTTATTATTTTAAGTATTTTAATAGAGTTATTTTAAGTTATTTTGTTCACATTTTAACTATAGTGTATGAATAAAATGTGTTTTATTTCAAGCCTGATAGTCTGACTAGTCGAATTGAATCCAAAACACAACACCTGGCACTTCCCTTGAAAATAAGGAAAAATTAGGTTCTAGGCTGTCTCTTTGACATATTTTGAGGGGGTTTGGTCCATTACTACGTGTCCGCCTAGCATATTGTCAGTTTGT